AATGGGGGAATTGGGACTGCAGAAAAATGGGAATGGAGGAAACTGGGAATGTGGGAGACTGGGATAGGAGGGAAACATGGGTCCCTCCTCAGACCCAAAGGTCACCTGTACCAGGTGCTGCAGATCTTCACTTTTCTGGAAAACAGGAAAGTTACCAAGCGAAGAATCTTCATGGCAGAGCAAAGGGAAAAGAGTCTGGAAGAGCAGTTTTGTTCTCCATTTTCTCCAGCAGACAGTTTTCAAGTGACACTGTGCTCTTAATAGGACAAATTCACATTTAACAATAAATCATGAGCTCTTGGTGGTGGAGTGGCCCTAAGGAGCTGTTCTGCTCCCAGTGAGGAGCTGGGAGTGCTCCTGAGGTTCCCTTCATCAATCAAAGGCACAAACATTGTGTGCAAAATGCAGAGTAGCAGGAAAGTAATGGGATTTCTGGCACTGGAGCCATTGGGGTGTAGGGTGGAGATCCTTCATACCCTCAGGTACAAATGTGTGAATACAGATGCTGAACAGTTCCTGGCACATATTCCCACAGCTACCCTGGCCTGGTCCCCAAGGAAAAAACATTTACTTGCATTTGAATTGTGTAGTTTTGGGTCCATTTCACTGGAAGTGAACAGTCATATATATATTTTGTGGTTACATATTTAAAACCTGTGATATGATGTGACTGTGTTCACAGGGGTCCGAGGATGAGGGAATAGATGAGGATCTGACTCCATGTTTCAGAAGGCTGATTCATTATTTTATGATATATATTACATTAAAACTATACTAAAAGAATAGAAGAAAGGATTTCATCAGAACGCTAGCTAAGAATAGGAAAGAACGATAACAAAAGCTTCTGTCTCGGACAGAGTCCAAGCCAGCTGACTGTGATTGGCCATTAATTACAAACAACCACATGAGACCAATCACAGATGCACCTGTTGCACTCCACAGCAGCAGATAATCAATGCTTACATTTTGTTCTTGAGGCCTCTCAGCTTCTCAGGAGGAAAACTCCTAAAGAAAGGATTTTTCATAAAAAATGTCTGTGACAATATGAGGTTCTTTATTTTTGCTGTTGTTTAAAACAAAACAGAAGCTACCGAGGAAAATAGAATTATAGAATCATTAAGTTTGGAAAAGCCCTGTAGGATCACCAAGCATCAGCACTGTCACCATGCCCACCACTAAACCCTGTCCTCAGCTGTCATGCCCACATGGATTTTGAACAGTTCCAGAGATGGAGACTTCACCACATTCCAGGAAGCCTATTCCAGGGTGTGACAACCCTTCCCATGGAGAAGTGTGTGAGAGAATCCTGCTGAGTTTAAAGACAGAGAAAGGAAATAATTCCAAAACTATTGTTATTATTCAAAACTCTTTTTGGTTTTGATAGGAACATTAGATTGCATAAATGTTTCTTATGAATGCACCTTTCCCATCCCAGTTTGATTTTTCCCTCGCTGCTGTTGTGAGAGTACAAGGGTTTAATGCAATCCTACCTTGCCACCTTGTGGCATTTCTGTGAATTAGCACAGTTCAGTTTCCTGGTGTCAGTTTAGGATTGTGTTCATTTCCTTAGGAGAGGGCTCCTGTTTGCCCG